AAGTGTTATGTATTGTAGCTTATTACCAAGATATAGGAAACTTACTCAAATCCCTACTGCATGAACACATAGCAATATATTTATATAGGAATGGGTAACAGGTTTATTCCATGCTGAAAGGAGAAAAAAGAAAAGGTTTTGGCTGTGGAGCATTCTCCGGGTGTCTCTACCTACCCAATATATTTATATATGTTGAGATGGAGATAAAGACAGATCATATCTTTTATCATAATGGTGGTAAACATTTTATCAGAATGGTATCATTTGTAGTTAAAAGGTTTATCAAGGGTGTAATTGCTGCATCTCTGACCTCTGCGAGACGTTCTGCAGCAGTTATTCAGCTATCAGGCTTGCATTCTAAAACTTTTAAAATCTACTGCCTTGACTGCTCCAGTACTATTCAGATGGAATATTTACCCATTTGAGACTGAGTTTGAAAATTAAAAATAGAAAAATAGATAAAATCAGGAAGGCAACCCGGCAAACCTAAAACAAGTGCCTACTGTACATATCCTGCTCTAATTTTAAAAAAAAGGAAAAGTATTTCCTTATAAATGACACTAAACACAGTTGATGTTTTTCAGACCACCTTTTTTGTAGTATTAAAACAGTATAAACTTTCTGATTTCTAAGAGTTTAAAACAATCCGTTTCAAAGGCACAATTCATGCAAGTTGAGAGGTTTTGAAATTCTCAGACTTGAATTGCTATTTTCACACAACCCATTCCATGGAAATGCAATTGTAAATAATGCATCTCCAGTATTAAAGAATCCTCAATGAAGATCTATTATCAGCACTGTGACAGCAAAGCAGTGCGCTTGTGTCTGTTGGGGCTTCACATAAAAACAATTCTAAATGCATCTTTCTGCACAGCCTGTTTCTTTTTAAAATATCACCCAATCTAAGAATTTTGTTAAGAATCAGACTCGGGCTCTATGGAAATCATGACCCAGAATGATGATAGACCTCAAAGTTATTGGCCTTCCCACCGTTTTTTTTTTCCACGAAAGCTCCCCGACATAACACCTCATAAATGCGTATTTGGAGTTAAGAAATGAAGACACTTAGTGAAAACTTATTCCAATACATCTCCTGAATTACCTGGTATGGTTTTAAAATGTAAACAAATTAGTTTTAAGAACAAAAATAAAGGAAACTTAATCAAAGTCTACAACAGAATTAAAAAAAAACCTTTAACTTCATCTGGCCAATATGCCGGCAGCAATCATCTGAGGCTGGGCCTTGGGAAATAATCTAATACAATTACAGGGGCCAAGAAAAGAACTTTTAACATTGTCAGGTCTGTAAATTACATTTTGCTTCTATTTCACCTTCCAAGAGCTCTCCTTCTGCCGCATTAGAAAGCCTCCCAAGGATTATGCAGTCTATTTTGGAATTCAATCAAATAAGCAGGATATATAAGAAACCTTTGAGAGCCATATCTACATACACATCCTACACAGTGTGCCTTCCAATGTACTGACTAAAAGGATTTACAAAGCAGAGAGCCTGCCAGGAATTTAAAGTTTTAACTGGGCTATTAAAACTAGAAAATACATTAGTTGCATGCTTCCTGTTCTTTTTCCCCAAAAGAAAAGTTCACGTAGCTCCCATCCAGATAGCCAACTATCATAAACAATAAAATAAATTCCAGATGTGTTATTGTTAGTTCATGGATGTTCCAGTTTTTCAGTGTTTTTGTTACTCTTTGGAGTTCTTGTGTGTCCTTTAGGACACAATTATCTCCTTTATTGATCAGGTGAGCTGAATTGCAATGAACATATCTGCAGACACAGTTTCTAAGAAAGGCAGATTGAAAAAGGATGGATGGAATAAGAACAAGGTTGTGCTTTTGCACTTGTTTTTAATGTTCCCCATGCTTCCTTGCTTTGTCATTTTGCACTGTGTACCACTCAGAGCACTGCATCCAACCCACAATTACATGTGTAGATGAGAAGTGACAGATTTCACAGTAAAGAGCTAAATTTTGAAAATTAAGTGAAAACCTGCACTTGTCTGTTTAATGCTCCATTTTGGGGCCAACCTTTTCCAAATCTAGTATGGAAATGTAAACATGAATTAGCTCATTTCACAAACAACAGTTTTATGTACCTAACTCAGCTTTGTGTTTATAAAGTATGCAGTCATCAACAGCTATTACTCACATTCTCACAAGCCATTAAATTTTTGGCTTGCTTTTAAAAACACTAACCTCAAAAGAGGTTCATTGCAATCCATCAATCTGATCTATCCAGTAGTCCTTGTACTTCATGAGAGAAACATTGTACAGTTTTGTTACATTTAGCAACTTATTGTAGTTTGCTGCTAATAAAAGCAATACACAGCTTGACTTCCCACTTTTTGTCAATGTTAACCCTTTGCTTTCTTGACTAACTTGCTGGAAACAAGGATACAGGAGGCGAACAAATCATATAATGTGGTACGTTAAGATTTGCAGAAAGCTAATAACAATGAACTGATAATAGTTCAGTAAAAAAGATTAATTCTAAAATTTCAAGCAGCAGTCACCCCAGATAATACATATATTGATTGAGAAATAGTTAATTGATAGGAAAAGGAGAGTACAGACAGTATACCACAGGCATCTGTAACAGGACCACAGATTTTCCTAATTTACATCAATGATCTAGAAGCTAGTAATCTAGTGTGGTCTGCAGATGATACCCACCAGGTGGATTAATGAACACTACAGAAAAGGACATTTACAAAACATTGGAAAGGACATTTCAGAAAGACCAGACAATTTAGACAATTTTCAAGACAGAGCAAATACTTGACAGATGATGTTTAATTTATATTAATTCAATACTACAAATAAAATAGGAAATATTGAGCTCGAAGGATCTACAGTATGAAAGACTCAGGTGTTCATGTTCACATTACTTTCCTCCTCTAGGCATTCTGGACAAACTTAAAAAAATAGGACAATGAAAAGTGGAAAGCTTAAAGTGTGGGCTTTTACATTCAAACTGTACACTGCACAAGTAAAGCATCCATTATACTGTAAATTCTAAAGATTGCATTTCTGGAATAAGTCCAAAGAAGAGAGTGCAGTGAAACATCCTGGCTTTAAAGATATGCATCAAACATTTAATTTCTATTTTATTCAAGAGAATAAATCGGAATCAACAGCAAAAAATGAAACAAAGGGTCTCGAGCAGAATCTAGTGGCCCATGCATTTAAAACTGACAACAGGAGGCATCTTTACAGAGTTGTGGACGTCTGGAAAAAGCTACTCATCCATTTGCTTGATGCACATACTCTAGCTTCTTTCAAGAATCAACCAGATGAAATCCTTAGGTCAATAAACTAATAGCAATCAACCTACATACTAGTGTGGGATAACACTAGATGGGATTAACTTGTTTAGCTCTTAAACGTCCCTAAGTATAATGATGGAAAAAAGAAATGGAACATTATGGAATTAGAAACCTGCAGTTATAGCTTATGTACTTTCACAAAAAGTTGTCAATTTGTTTTAAGCCCATCGACCAGCAATACAGCTTGTGCAGTGAGGCATTGCAACTTGCCAATCACACAAAAGCTCGTTAGGAGCACTTTTACCCAACGAGGTCTAGGTGGAACAATGCCTGATCTGGTCCACCATTAAAAAGGCCTTAATTCAAAGCTTAGGTCACTGCAAGAAAAAGGCCACACTTAGTCAGTTTTCTGTGCATTCCATAATGCCTTGAATGTCACCAGAAGCAAGGCAACCACTGTGTCCGACTGCAGAGAAGGTTCAAGCAGACCAGCAGGACAGAAGACCACCCAAGATCCGGTCGCCCTCGAGTTACCACACCAGAGCAGGACAGACACAGACTGGTCCATCTGAGAGATTGTTTCATATCTGCCACCCATACTGCTGCCGGCAGACACGATGCCCGCATCAGTGAGAGGACAGTGATGCTCCATGCAGCTGGCCTTAGAGCATGGCAACCTCCTAGACATCACACCCGACTGGCTTGGGCCAGACTGAGGCTCCGATGGACTCGTCAGCGGTGGCATCAGGTCCTCTTCAAGGATGAGTTACTCTTCAGCCTGTTCCATGCAGACGGGAGGGCCAGAGTGTGGAGGAGGAGATGTTGCATTTTTTTCCCCATCAGTTTATAAAGTATTCACTCAGTGGAGCACTGTCCATCACTTGATTGTTTCCAAATAAATATCAGTATACTAACATAATCCAAACTCAAATATTATCCATAAATACACCAGAGCTTCGCCAACAGTAATACACCTGTTTTCAGTCATTTACCTTTATCTAATCATACAGGGGAAAAATTATTTGTAGCCTGCTCTTGTAAACAATTACAATTACAAAATTGTAAACAATTTTACTATACACGGTAAAAAGGAAAATAATAAATTTACATATAAAGTTGAAAAACTAGGTGTTAATACTATGAGAAACAGGAAACCGTTAAATGTACCTAATGCACATATGACTCATACTAGCCAGCAGGAATAAATTATGGCTAAGAAGCTGTTTTTAAACTAGTTTATACAAACCACTGAGAAAAACAGCTCATGTTTACAATATGTTTAGGCACAGATGTCTGATATGATTCAGTGTACAACCTGACCTACGTCCTTCAGGAAATCCAATTTTTCCAAACTTGAGTACTGCAGTTCAGAATAATTAACAATACCAAGTTTTCTGGGAAAACATGCCAGCAGGATTCCAAACAAAGACAAAACGATCATACAAAATGAATATTTCTTCATTAGTATGAAATCTAATGTTACAGCATTGCAAACCAAAATGGAAATGTCCCGGATAGTTTTGTAGATGTCTTTAAGTATTAATTTACTGTCAATTACTATAATTACTAGAATTCAGTTTGGTCCAGAATAATTTGCAAAACATAAAATTGTTTACTTACCTCTTCAATAGCAGAGGAACAGTTCCTAAACAATTCTGATAATGCAGACTGATATTGTGTACATACAAAATAAGAAACAAGTATGCTTTCTTTGGAGGAAAGTTCACAAGTGTTTTTACTGGTATTTCTGCAAACACTAAGGCCGCTAGCTTATTCTTGTTGCCACGGAAACAGAACAAATTTGTGCTCTGGAAACTATTTAAAGTAGTTCAGAAAAGGCTAAAGATTTTGTAATTTATTGCAATTCACTCAGACACAAGAAAACACAATCCCCATTCATCTTCTGAGAATTATTTTTTTTTTCCGGGGAAATAAAAGAAAAATGATCCTGATGGAAATATCTGTTGTGGAACTCCTTGTCTTGTATTTACTTTAGAACTGCAAAGAGGAATTAATTTAGCCTTTTATGATGTCACTGTTAGACATTGGAATTCCCTGTGATCTCTTGAAACCCATTCTGCCAGAATTGGAACAGATGACCCTTTACATGCAAAAGAATGCATGGCTGAATTCATTGTTGATAGTGAAAGCATGAATTCTCATACCAAATAGCTTTCCCTGATCAGTTGCTCAGAAATAATCGGAGACTGACTTTGAATTTCATAGAAAATTTCCACATTTTTGAGGCACAGCTTGTGTAGTCCTGTTCATTAATGTTCAATGTACAAAAAGGAGGAAAACACCAAAATTGGAGATGAAAACATTAGTATCTTTAATTCAGAGAAAATATTGAAAAAATAATCCTGGTTAATACCTCATTCTCGATTATACCCGTCAACAACTGTTACATACTTACAAAATATATCATCCCTGTAAATACATGGTTATGTTAAGATAGAGGAGTATTTTCAAATGTGGATATTTACAGATTAGCCTTTTGGAATTCTTCACATTTCCCAAAATAAAAATAGTCACTGTGGTCTGGTGTATATTCTCAAATGGGTAGTTACTGTGCTCTTAAAGAAATACAGCTTTCCTTGAGAGAGTTTTTACCCTGGAGGGGAGATGGGATTCCCCATACACAATCTATGCTTGCCCAGGCCAGTCCCAAGCATAACAGGGAACTCTGTTAAGAGCCCTTGACAATGAGCCCAGTATGGTGTCATGCTTTTCTACCCTAAGGGGAACCCTCTTGGAATGCATTCCAGATAGCAACAACCACCAAACACTGCAACAGTCCTACATTCTTTTGGACAGGAAAGGACAGGAAAGACCACCAGAGCCTTTAGGGAATGGAAATTAATTGCACATTATAATTTAACTGTTTGTGAAGGAAAAAGGACCAAGAAAAAAAAAGAACTGCATATTACTGTATATCCCCTACCTCCTATGATACAGAATATAAACCAGAAACAGCAATGTACCCTTAAGTCTTTGATTTTGAGGCAGTCACTCTCAGAAGTATCTCTGCAAACATACTTCTAAATTAAATTATATACATATCACATTACCTAAGCTTTGTAAACATCATTTGTTAGGAAATGTGTTCAGAGGTTTTTACATTTATTACTTTTAACATATGTAATACAAGGCATTAACACCTGCACAGCAGCTGTTACTGCATGTTATGCAGTGTTTTTACTAGCCCCTAACCATAAGAGAAACTCCCAAACCCATGGAATTCCTGCACTCTAAATATCAGCCTTCAGAATAGCTGCTGATATTCTATTACCTATCATTTATCTGTTGTACTTTAAGACAACTTCTTTTCAAATGAAAGCATCCACATTTCCTCCAACGTTTCATAAGGAAATTCACCAAAGATGCACACATGTGAGCTACCCCTGGATATCATGAAACAGTTTCATTGCCAGCTCTTTGCTCGGTCTGTAATCGAGTCAGATCAGTACTTGAATAGAAAACTTCAGAGAAAACCCAGTTTGCTAATGTCAGTGGTGTGGGTGGACCACTAGGTGGCACTCTTCCTTCTAGACCAGAATGTTCAAACCAAACCTTTGGTATGTTGACTGGGGACAGTGTGCTGGAGGAGATGCTATCCTGTTCATCTGAGGTCCTGACTTTAATCATTAAAGACTCCTCGTCACTGCTTATAAAAGTAGAAGTCTTCCCTGCATTTCTTCCTAAATTCTCAAGCAGGTTCTCCCTTCTCTACCCAATCTGTTGTGTAATGGGGTTGCTGGGGCATAATAGCTCCATGGGTCTGTACTTCACTTCAGGGGTGGATGTTGTGCATTGTATCCTTTGTGGTGAAAAGTATTACTTACAAAAGCAGTTAATTTAAACTAGACAGCTACAAATTTGTAAAAAGGTGTTTAAATTGTTAATCATTGAACACAACAGTGTAGAGAACTCTTAAAACTGAGGCAGTACAAATATTGCTTCAATCCAGCATTCTTTCAAAGAGAAAACATTTTCTGCCACCATGTTTGCAAAATGAATATAAACCACTCATATCTCTGGGTGACATTCAATATATTAAATCACCACTAGATATAAAGTATTTCAGGTGGGTAGCTGCCTCAGCATGCATAGGCCGCAAAGGAACAAGTAATAGGTTTATGTCATGCTGAAAAGAGAAGAAAGAAAACAATGTTTCAGCCATGGAGCCTTCTTCAGGTGTGAGAAAGATGGGGCAGGAGGCAAAGGTAATGTAGCACAGGAGAGCAAAAGCTGGGAGAGAGGAGGGGCAGAAGGCAGGAGCAGGGGACAGAGTGGCCAATCAGGAAGTGTGAAGTCAGGATAGGTGAAGAGAGGTGTGAAATGAAATCTACAGTGAATAGAGAGAATTTAGAAGAAAAGTAGTCTGTCATTGAGAGAAAGGGGAAGGTGTGATCCTAGCTGCAGGATAATTTTAGTTTCTGTAGTCTTTCTGATGTACGAGTTCAGAAAACCATCTTCGAGAACATAAACGAAAAGATTAGTGTGATTATTGCCATCGGAATGTGAAAATGAGAAACAATGGGCTTGGAGAGATTTTTAATCTTCACAGCCCTAACATGTTCTCTGAAGCGGTCTGCAAGTCTCCTTCCTGTTTCCCAAATGTAGATGGCTGGGATATAAAGACTCCACAAATTACAATGACAGTTACAAATGAGAGGACATTAGTTGGTTAGTTAATCTGAGGATCTTTTCCGTTTCTTAAAAGGAACTCGTTTTCTGATGGGGCAACTTGGTGTGCACTCATAATGTATTGTGTAAAGTCTCTCCTATTTTCAGACTTAAAAAGTAGTTTCCACTTGTGACCACTAAGGCAAACTGCTTGACCTGGACAATGGCTTTGAGGATTGTTTTTCAAGACTTGAATCAGGTCTCTTGCCCTGTTCGAGGATAGAAAGGTTCAGCTATAACCCTGCAAGTTTCCATTTTAACTTGAGCTTAGTTGAGCCTTAATTGAACTAAGTTACTAAACTGGAAAATGTGCAAGTTGTTTCTTTGCTTATGAGATGCAATAGTTAGAAAACAATGTCCGGTGTGTTTAATAGCTGAAAACATAAATAGTTCAAATGAATGCTATTATTGTGTTGAATGTTGTAACAGAGCTTGGCTGGAACAAAAACCATCAGGTGGGTAGGTGGAGGTCTCCAGGACTGGTTATTGCAAACCCATGAACTGTACTACCGTCTTTGCCTTATTTGTGTATCAGACTCTGAAGCAATTGCATAAAAGGGTTTCTAGAACTTGAAAACTGCATCTGACTTATTGAAGAATTTACAGAACCACCAAGCTACTTGCAAACTAGTAGTTGCAATAATAACCAGGATAGGAATGATGCATGTAGAACAGCTCCTTTCTATGAAATCAAATCCTTGTAGCACCAGGCGTCCACTCTAAGAAGCATCTTGTGCAATCCATTCCCTTCCACTACATTTTAATTCTAAGGTTTATAGGGAATATGAAGCCTTAAGAAAAAGAATCTGCAAAAGAAATACCATCTCTTTTCCCCTCTTCAATGACTATACTGAAAAGAACTGCAGGACACTTTACTGTAGCGATGGCCTATACACAGTTTAGCAAAACATCTTAAAAATTGAATTCCGATAGCTTGGAGGCCACAATACGTTTTTCAGTTTTATATCAAAGGACATTCTCTGTGCCGACTTCTTACCTTTTTTTAGGCACGGTTAGCATGTCTGAACATCACACTGGTGACACCCTCAGACTTTCCATGTCTAGAATAATGATCTCATTTAGCAGAAAGCATTTTCCTTGGTTAGCCACAGTAACTTGTTTACCACGTCATGCACAGATACCTACACAACATTTTCAACACTTTAGTAGTGTCAGGTTTGAGAGTTAGACAAGGTACAAAATCTACAGTATAGGCGTGTCTAAAGGCCATTTGGGCTTTTTTTATACCACTGAAATGAAAAAATAGAAAACAGTTTATAGATACAGATATTTGCAGTTGCCAAATAAGATGGTAATATTTCTAAATGATTGCAATGAAAAGCTACAAAATTGTGTAGGTCTGTACTACACAATAAACAAATTTGTTCAAGATGGGGGGGGGGGAAATCAAGCGTTAAGTTCAGCAATAATCCATAAGTGTACTTCAAAAGTATATTAAACCATATTTGCCTACACTGGGTGCATCACTTCTTCATGAATCTCTTCAGTTACAGCATATTACTTTCTCATATTACTAAATGAAGGAAAATTAAGACTGTAAACCTCAATGTTTACATAAGACAGCACACCTATGAGGAAAGAACGAGTTAATTGCTGCTGGCTGGGATTTTGTTGTTTTCTACCTTTAGAGCTCATATACACTTGTTAATTGGATGTTTAATAATTTATTTCAGAGTCATCATTCTCAGCAGTAGCACACTTTATCTTCAAAGTCTTCTCTTGTGCAACTTGTGCAATGTACAGGCTCAATATTTATTTTGTTTCCTGACAACAAGACCGTCTTTCATGTTTGAAACTGCCTTCCCCAGAGGGAACGTTTTAGTCTTCTGTAATATTATACACAAAGAAGGCTTACAAGCTAGCAGATGCTTCAGTGGTCAAGATGATGAATGAAGGTCACCAGCTCAGGGTTCACGTTACTCTAAATGTCTGTATTTTCTTAATGTCCAGTGACCTCGATATACAATATCTGTATGAGGAAGCTAATATTACCATTTCAGATGCATAAAGGATGTTAGTATTTATCATCTGAATGGCCTTGTAAACAAAAATACAAAAAGCCAGAATACAATCTCGTTCGTCACAAAAGCAACGCACTAATCTACAGAAACCAAGGCTGATATTACACACAATTAATGTCTACAACTATTGTGGAAATGTTACTTTCTGAATCAATGTTGCACAAGCAAAAAGCTGAATGAAAATATCCAATCCAACAAAAAGTGTGATATCAGCTAACAGAGATA